AAGACACTATATTGGTTGTGGATGTCAGCCCTTATTTGCTGCCTTTAAGTGATTTAGCGGCCATATATGAACTCTTCTAATCATTTGAGAAACTTAAAGTGTCTCTGCAACTGTTAGTAATCACGTTCTTATTTCGCGGTTGCCGAGTGATAGAACGGATTTGCAACTCACACATGCAAAACATTATTCTTAATATAAAATCTAATGTTCTTAAATCTTAAGTTCTAAAGGTACTGATTAATTGAAATATGTGATAGGTTACGGCTGACGAATACACGTTTAATGTTAAGCAGAACGTTTGGTTTTAGGGAAAATGTTAGATATTTGAGGATTACTTTTCTTTTGTAATAATTATGTCAGTAAGTCGGCAATTTATTCGTAGCTGAAGGGGCAGTCGTATTTAGGCTTCTATAAAATGTAATATTGCGTTAACTTCGCCCTTCATGTTGTATATTCCATATTTTCTTGTGAAAAGCATCTTCTATCTTCGGCTTAATACTTATACACAGCGTATCTGGATACTTTTTAGATGCCTCGGTACACCTATGCAAGATGGCTCAATTTCTCCCCTGCGACTATGGAAAAGGGGCCTTTTTGTTACAGGCGCACAGCAGTTTTAGGCAGATATTTAGTTGAATTTTATTATTCGGTTTATCACTTTTTTTCAAAGTATCTGAAAGACAAAGTTGTGTCTAAATTATCTCAATGGCCGGAACCAATGAGACCAGTATGTATATACCTTTATCCAGGCATTTCAACAATTTTAATGCGGGAAGCACCATACGACTGCTTGAGAAAAGTACTTAAAATAAAGGTAGATTTCCCATTTTTATTTTATCTCCCTCTGTCGGCTTTCTTTATTCCAGTAGATATCCAGCCAAAAATAATCTGTGTATTTATTCTGTCCATTTTATATTTTAGGCGCAAACTTGGACAACTGCATGCCCTTCCTCCCACGGAGGATACTGGGAGTCCTATTTGGTCTTACCGAAATGTTATTTTTCGGTGGTACTATATATGGGTTCAACGCATTTTATCCGATTATGAAGCAAGAATTAATCTTTGCTTCTCTCTGTGAAAACGCAACAAGTATAACTGGTTGCGCTGCTCAAACTACTATGTTTGCAAATGCCTTCATAACGTTCACTTCCCTGCAAATGGTTATGGTGATTGTTGTGGGGCTTCTCATCGATAATGTCGGACTGCGTATAGTGAAGCTGGGATCCGTCGTTCTGTACTTCATTGGAACCATGATGTTTGCATTCGTATCAAAGGAGGTGTCGTGGCTCATTTTCCCGGCTGGCTGTTGCACTTGTGTTGGAGGAATGGGAATGATGGTCTGTAACTTTAGTATAAGCCTTCTTTTTGATGCAACTTCTGTACTTGTCCTGGCCTTTATTGACGGTTCCTACGATTCGTCCTCCTCTATGTTGGCTATCGTCAGTCAAACCAATGACGCTGGATTGTCTTTTAGGACAAGTTTTCTCATCTTAAGCGTTGTGGGCACTTCAATGGGTCTTTTCAGTGGATTGTTCGTACTTACAGCCAAGATGCCGAGTATGGTTGATATCAAAAAGAACGCGAAAACAGTTGTTGCTGAAACTAACGACGACGACGAAGAAGAAGTGAAATCGATGGTAAGTGAGGTTCTTTCATCTAAATATTTACATCCTATAACGGGTTAAGCTTCAATCGAGGTATAAAAGTTTGTAATAAAACACCGGCCTAATTATCTGATTATTATTCTTAACGCCTTAATGAGCAATATACTAGAACTTTTTTTCTTTTAAGATTAACGGTCATATGTGTGAAAATAAAGCGAAGGGAATTTGTCACATTTTCAAGACGGTAGATATTCAATTTACAATGATATGTACCGAAATACGGTATGCTCGGACGTTCTCCTGTGCCCCAAGATGAAGCGACCGAATTGTGTTATTCGTTAGAGAATTTGAATGTGCCGAATCATTAATGCAGAAGAGATATCTTATTCCATATCAGGTTTTGTGGAACCTATAGGATACGCGAACCTGTAACTCTCACACGAGCACTGACTAGATTTCTGAAAATGGAAAAAAAGTTTTTTTTCATAAATTAGAGCGTTTGTCCTCATGCTGCATCCAGGAAGGCAGGCTACCCGTTAGCCTAGCTGCTGGCTACCCGGCGCGTCCACAGGAGGCGGATAGTGGAACGACCTTCAGTGAAGAATAGCGGTGAAATAAGCGGACTCTCGGGTCTGTCAAATAAGCAGTCGAGAAGAAGAGACTCGATCGCTGGGACAATATGTTTATTCGCCTGACGTTTCGAAATCCGTCGTGGATTCGTCACCAGAGACGTGAGTAGCAAAAAACAGGTTAAGCATGCACAGAAGTTTGCAGTTCTTATAGGACACAGTCATTACTGCAAGCATACCGCGACAATTAACGTTAATTG